ATTACAGTTGGCACTTCTGCGGGTTAACCGTCAGTTAATTTAACTGAAGATTGGTGAAAGAGGCTCTTAATAATGATCACTTCTTTTTGGTCGCTCGCGCGTCGCCATCTCTCGATATCTCCCGTAGTCGCCCGCATAGACCTTATATGTATGGACTGGTAATACAGATATGATTATGTTGCGCGAAGGTTGGAGAGAGAAACGTCTCTCTTTTTCTAAAAGTGTCTGGAATGAAAGTGAAATACATTTTGTGCATGCTTGACATATACTATACATTAATGCATTCTTATTGGTGTATACTTATGCAAGTTAAGGAAAGTTTGAGGTTATTTGTACCTTATTTGTAGAATATCATATTTACGGAATATCGATAGGAATATCACATTATATTTCTAAAAAGAAATAATGGTTCGAAAGTATGTTATTTGCAGAGTGAGTTATTCTGTAGAAAATAGTATTTCTTTTCATTCGTAAGTAATAATGAAGCAGGACTTATTGTAAAGTAACATATATCACGCATACTTTAATAATTGTAGAAGCATTTGTGCAATTTTTTTTATTTTATAAATAAATAAATAAATTTTATAAATTTTGAGAGCTTTAAATTATAAATTCAATTCAATTATCATATTCTTAAGATATAATAATTCTTAGAAAAAAAAGTTATTTAATTGTTTCATTTGAAATTAAAAAAAAATTTCATTCTATTATTCACTTTTTTAATATTATTTTATTACATTACAATATTAGATTCGCGTTGCTTAGAATTTTCAATATTTAAAACAGAATAGATATATTTGTGAGCAATGGACAAAAAAAGAACAAGAAGCTTAAGTGCAATAAGTATAAACAATATGAACCGCCTATTTAATAGAAAACCATTTATTATTAGTCTCAAAACATTTATTGTTCAAAATAATTATAACTATCATATTTTTCCAAAAACTCGCATTTTTAAAAAGAAATTATTCTTCTATAGTTTCATTACTTAAAAAACGATGAGTATATATAAAATAAACAACATATAGAAACTATATATAAAAACTAAAATTTAAGATGCAGCAAGTATGTCATGCATGATTCATTAAATATTGTAATTCTTATTTTACTCTTTTTTTATTATTTTACAAAATTACTATAAAAAATAAAAACTTCGATATAGAATTACATATCGTTTATTTTAAAACTCTTTTCACAAATTAATCTAAAGTTTTATTTGATGTTTTTTTATTTCTCTTATATATATTTTTTTATTTTATTTTATCGCATTTTATATGTTTGATTATGAAGTCTTTCATTCTTTATTCTTTATCAACATTTATTGCTTTCGATCATATTATTATATTAATCCGCTATATGCTTCGAACTCATGCGCAATATATATTTCCGGACATTCCCCTCTTGCGTGACACCCGTTTGACCACGTCTCGATTGATCACTAGCTATTCACAGCACTTGAACAGTGGAAAAATTCTAGACATTGGCCCCTGAGTGGCTAGTGGTCAATCGGGACGTGGTCAAACGGGTGTCATCCAAAAAAAAGTTACATGTAGTAACCAGAAAAAAAAACCAACTAAACAAATTTTTAATTCGCACTGTTCAAACTCTCTAGAACTTCTCTGCACCTAAGTGTCGGTCCATAATAGGTGATTTAAGTTTTAAGAAATAAGAAATTGACCAATTATAATTTAATATAAAAAGAATAATCGATCTATGATTGGTCAATTTCTTATGGTTTAAAGATTAAATACTTATCGTGGACCGACACTAACCAACCCTATAGCGAAATAGGCACAAACGCAGGCATTGGAGAAAGAAGGAGCGAGAAACATGAGTGCAAGAAATGAACAAACTGTTGTGTTTTATAAGCGAAGCTTCTCCTTCTTTCCGCAATGCGGCGTATAGATAGAGAAATTGATCAGTCGATTTCTCGTCTACAGTCCGTCGACCGTTTCTTCTCCTCTGTCCAAGTCTCTTTGGTTTCTCTGAGCTCGAGTATCAGAGTCCTCCTTAAAACATCTTACATCGGTCGCATACGCCAGGGCAGGAGAGGTTGTTCTACGATTTTTACGTGCGTCGAAGTAAGTAACGCGATAATCGAGGCATCGTGGGTTGCACAGATCGGCGGATTTGTCGCACACGCTTCGCCGGATTTTCAGAGTTATATTTAATGGCCTCGGCCATCATCGTGGTTGCATACCGCGCGCGGACTTAACCTCCGAATCAATCGTGGTAACGTTATATGCGTAATCTGCTGGCCTTGCGCGTCACAAACGCCCGATAATAACGCGTAGACGCTTCTTGTTGTCGCCATTTGTCAAGGATTACGATCAAAAATTTCGAAGACGAATTTTTAGGCGCAACGTGATTATCGCGCGCACTTTTTCTCTATATCTTACGTTTTTGTACGTTCGCTGTAGTAGGTTTGTAATCGTATCGCGAGAGAGAATCTTGAACGTTTGCACATTTTCCTAGTTTATTCTTGAAAAAAATTTAATATAGGAGAGATAGGCAATAATTTCATTACGATCTTATATGATTGATCTATTATGTTTCTTTCAGAAGAGTATTGTATGAGTCAAAAAATAGAAAAACCGATACTATCAGGTCAACGCATAAAGACCAGAAAAAGAGGTAAAAATAAATATCTTTTTATGATGTTAATTTATGAAATTAAGTTTTTGAGATATTAGATTAACAAGAGTCATCTATAGATGAAAGAGAGAAATATGACCCAACCGGCTTTCGAGATGCGGTTTTGCTTGGCTTGGAAAAAGCTGGTAACGACTTAGAAGCAATTTCTAAATTTCTGGACGCGGCTGGTTCTAAGTTAGACTATCGTCGATATGGGGAAGCATTATTTGACATCATGATTGCTGGAGGTCTTCTAGTTCCTGGCGGTTCCATTGCTCAAGATGGCGACAAACCGGTTAAAACCAGTGCATGTGTTTTTGAACAGCCAGAGGACATGGAGTCTATGCGAAATTTTGAACAGGTAAAGAGTAGATAAAGGTGGAATTTTTGAATCAGATATTGCTTTGAGACATTTACATTAAATTAAATTTGAACAAATAGGTCTTTATCAAACTCATGCGACGTTATAAATATTTGGAAAAAATGTTTGAGGAAGAGATGAAAAAGGTATTGGTCTTTATGAAAGGATTTTCACCTAAAGAAAGAATTAAGCTAGCACGAATGACAGCACTGTGGATCTCGAATGGCTCTGTACCACCTACAGTCCTTTCGGTTTTGATCAATGAGCATCTTGTTAAAGACAACTTGGCATTAGACTTCCTACTAGAAGTCTTTGTTACTTGGAAACAAGAAAAAGGTTTATCTAGTTTAATGACTGCTTTGAAGAAAGGAGGTATTGAAGGAAGGTAAAGTTAAAATGTTAAAATGTTAAATGCTTTTATCACTTATTGTATTTTAGAGAACCAAATTTTCGAAAAATTTTAATTTACTTATCATTTTGTTCATACAACCTTTTTGTGTATTTTAGGTTGATGGAATTTGTACCACCGAATAAACGAACAGAAGAACATTTCCGATCTGTGTTTGAAGCGGTAGGCTTGGCAGATATTGTGAAATTACACAAGGCTCAGGCCAGTCAAGAAGCTAAACGGGATTTACAACAACTTCTTTTGGATGATTTAGCAGAGAATAGGCCAATGAAGGACATAACATTAGATCTCAAAGAAATGGCACAAAGGAGTGGCATTCCTGAACATGAAGTGATTGGACTGGTAATTGCTTTTCGTTTTCGGTATTTTTGATAAAAATATACAGGAATATTTTTAAAAATGTAATTTGCTACTATTTACAGATATGGGTTGTTGTAATGGGCCAAGCTGAATGGAATAAGAAAGAAGAATTAGTCGCTGAACAAGCACTGAAACATCTAAAAGTTTATACTCCATTATTCGGTGCTTTTACAACCACTGCCAGATCTGAGCTCGCACTCATTCTCAAGGTCCAGGAATTCTGTTATGAGAACATGAATTTTATGAAAGTCTTCCAGAAGATTGTTTTACTCTTTTATAAAGTATGTTATTATGTATAAATTAAAATAATTAAAAATTAATTATTTTTATCTTTTATATATGCATTTGTCAAATTTGAGCATTTGAATATTACTGTAAATATTGTTATAAATGAAATCAAATGTTTGAATTACAGCGGAAGTTGTATCAGAAGATGTAATATTGAAGTGGTACAAAGAGGGTCATTCGGTTAAGGGAAAGATGCTCTTTTTAGACCAAATGAAAAAATTCGTGGAATGGCTGCAGAATGCCGAAGAGGAATCTGAATCTGGAGAAGAAGAAGATTAGAAATATTCAAGTAATTTTTTTTTTTACTAATTTTATAAAATATGTGAAAGGAATTCTTTTATATCATTAAAGCATTTCTTTTTATAGGAGAATATATCATTGCCAGTAATAAGAAATGACATAGTCTCAAAATTTTGAAACAGATCAAGAACAATCTAATATCAGTCAGGAAAGACACACGGACTCTTGAAAATATAAATAAAACTTAAGTCAATGTTAGGTACTCCATGATGAATCAAGTATTCAAGGGAATAGAACATTTTTAAATTGTCAATAAGGACTAACACTAACATCCAATCTGTGTGGAAGAACTGTAAATTGCAAAATCTTTGAATTGTATTACTTTAAGAAAAAATATTTTGTGTTACATTTTTATAACTCCGCTACAAAATATATACAGAATAACAAAGAAATTATAAGAAAAAAAATCTTTATCCCTGTGTACGTACAATTTTCGGATCCCTATCTTTCTTTGTATAATATTGTATTAGTTTATAGGAAATATACTGACAGGTGGTATTTAATATTTGATGTTTTGGTGATCATTCCTAATTTCCTCAGAATAGAATGAACATCTTTCAGAAAAAAAACTGAATATTAGAGAATAAATTCTATTTTTCTAAGGATTTGAGAAATTTGTTCAATCTATGATTATAATTTATTCATATCGGTTGTATCAATCTCTTACATTTATTTGATTTTCTCTTTTACAATTAATTTTTGTTTGTACTTATAAGGTCTCATGTCTGCAACTTGCAATTGTTTTTAATAAGCGTTTTGCCTTTCATTAGAGGTACCAATTCATTTGGTACAATGATACGATGGTGTTTCGTTTGATACGTTTCGCACAAGGCAATCAACATACGAGGTATCGCGCACGCAGTTCCATTTAGTGTATGTACGTAAGCCGTGTTTCCATCTTTTGTCGTGTACCTAATGTTGAGACGTCTTGATTGATAATCCGTGCAATTACTACAACTAGATAACTCGCCGTACAATTTTCTTCCAGGCATCCAACCTTGCATGTCACATTTCCTAAAACGAGAAAAAGATTACAGAAAATGTAAATGGAACATATATAATAAAAATATGATTATTGAAAAATATTACCTATAAGCTGATGAACCTAACTCAAATGGAGGCATATCCATTATTTGAAAATGCAATCCTAATGAAGAGAACAATTCTTCTTGTATATTCTGGAGATCTTGAAACACTTCTTCAGATTGACTTGGTTCACAACAAACAAACATTTCCACTTTAGTAAACTGGTGAACTCTATCATAGAAACATAATCAATTGATATCAAATTAATTTAAAAAATTTTAAATGTGTTAATGCTTAATATAATTTCTATCTCACCTATAGATTCCTCTTTCATCCAGAGTACTTGAACCTTCTGCACGATAGCATCGACTAACAGCTGCTAATTTCAATGGTAACGTGTCATAGGAAAGTGTAGTATTCATTAATTTGCTAGCTAATGACATTTCAGCAGTGCCAGACAAGCTATAGTCATCACCATAATAAGGATCTAATTTATATACTAAAGTTCGATTGCCATCCACTATCAAACCACACTTTTCAATAACTTTAGTAAGGATGATATCAGGCACTGAAAGTAACTTAAATCCATGCTTTACCAATCTTCTAAGTGTATAATGAATCAACGCTTCTTCCAATTCTGCCAATTCTCCTAGAAGTATATAACTTCTTTGTCCAGTAACAGGACCCAATGTATGTGTTCTTATAGCTTTTAAATCAGTGACAAGTTCAGCAAATTCTTTCGGCTCAAAATCAAACTCTGCCTTTTTGCCGCATTCTTTTAGCAATCTTGGTTTATCACCATAATCAATTATTGCAGGATGCGTATAGTTAGGTATCCTACTTAATTCCCACAACAGCAATTCTCGCTTTGCAGGATTTCTGGAGTATTCGAGAACTTTATCAATATCTCCAATACTCTTTCTTTTTTTGATGTTATTGAAGATGACATCACGATTTGCAGGATTGCATAGAAAATCTATATTATATTCTGGTTCTGGTACAGATAATTTTACATTGATCACATTTTTTTCTGGTGTTTCTGCAGGCTATTATAATTACCATTATTATTACTATTAAATAATACTGCTTTAAATATTATTAAACTTTATAATAATGTATAAAAAAAATTATGAATACTATTACATACCAAATTGTGTAGCCAAAAATGTCGCAATTTACAAAATTGCTTAAAATTTTGTTGAAATCTAAGTCTCATTTTACAGTCAAAAAGAAATGTATTAATTTATCTCAGCGGCATATGTCTGATATTTACAAAATATAAAACAATACGATTTCAGAATTGCAGCGTCAACAACTTGTTCAAGTAATAACTTCTGTAAAATATAAAAGTTATTATTTTAAGATGTAATCCAATGTAATCATTAAATATTTTTTTCAAATTTATTTCATAAAAATTTTTACAAATTAGAAATTTGAGCATCTCGCTACCTTTATGCGAGCTGACGTAATCATATTTATTTGTACGAGCCATACATTTTCCTGTACTGTGGCTGCGTTTCGATATTCTGTGACTACGTTTACATGGCCACCATAGTTAGTGAAATCTTGCGTTAGATTGGTACATTCTTTTAAATCTAAAATTGTGGTCTAATTAAATACAAGAAATCACTAACTACGAGTATGGTCAAGGGCTTAGGCTGATGTCCCATGGCGCGCAAACCCATCACAGCGAAAGAACCAAAAGAAAATTCGTTCATTCTGTTTGTTCTTTCGCTATAATTGGTTCGTGCGTTCCGTTCCGCTGTGGATGAGACACCAGCCTTACTACAAATGCTTTGAAGCATTTTTTGATTGGTGCATTAGTAAATTCTTTGTTTTGATTGGACAATCAAACGCTTCGAAGCATGTAGTATTAAGCCTAGTCTACAATGGCATAACATAAGGTTGTAAGGCGTGGTTGTAAGAATCTATTTAAATGAATTATTTTCATTTCTTATTATTGATTCCTGTCGCATTATTGCATACAAAGTTTGATCATGTCACTTGCATTCTTCTTAAATTTTCTGTGTCTGAAGTGAGATAGATATATACTATACAGGTGATGGAGCAAGAAGAAACGAATGCAAGAAGTACAAGGCAATGCGAACAAACCTAACCGGAAAACAATGTCAGGAAATGACGCATCACAGGTCGATCAACCAGCCACTTTTCCAGAAATAATACACACCATACACATACGCGCGCGCACACAACGCGCACACACACACACACACACACACACACACACACACACACACACACACACTATTTTT